ATAGATAGTTTATGAAGTTCTTGGCTCTTCAAACTTATCAGGGTTTAGGCATGCCATTGGCGTTTATAAATCCAAAATAATTTCAAATAAAAATTTAGTTAAATAGGGGCTGGAGAGGTAGCTGAATGGCAATGCGCTCTTACTGCTCTTGCTGAGGACCTGAGTTTGAATCCCAGCACCTGTGTTGGGTTGCTCACAACTACCTGTAATTCCAGAGCCACAGGCATCCAATGCCAGGGTACCTAAACTGCCATGCACATACTTAAAAACAGTGAAATAAATAATAGTACAAATAACTTATTTATACTTGAAAAATGAAAAACTCATTTTAAAAAGTTTTAGAAAGAGGAAATTATTTGAAGATTTTAGATGACTGTACTTAAATTAGGCCAAAGTCTATTTTAGGGGACTATGGAAATGAGGGACCTGAAGAGATGGCTCAGAGGTTAAGAGCGCTGGATGCTTTTCCAAAGGTCCTGAGTTAAATTACCAGCAACCATATGGTGGCTCATAACCATCTATAGTGAGATCTGGTGTCCTCTTCTGGCGTGCAGGCAGAACATTGTGTATATAATAAGTAAATAAATAAATCTAAAAAAAGAAAATGAGATTAAAATTATTTTGTGTACTTACAGAAAAACAATTTTTATTCTCTTGATTTGTTCCACTTCAATGACATTTTCTCAAAATGGAATTTTAGAAAAATGGAAAACATTGTTTTCTTCTGATCAGTGGTTTCCTTTCAATTTTTCTATAGTAGATATTCTGGATGCTGTTTATTTAAGCATACCAGTTGGACCATTGGTAAGAAACAATCTTTTCATCTACTTTGTAGACCTGACAGCTTGGAGCAAGATGATGTCAGGAGTCACCAGGGAGAGTGGTTTTGACCTGGACTGGAATCCTAGGCCTTTCACTTTATGTCACGAACTTGGACAAATTCTTAACCTCTCAGAGAAGGTTTTTATTCTGTAAAGTGGCTGTGGTGAAGATTAAATGAAATAAGGTATATAATATACTTGTATGGAGAATGTTGTTTTCTGTTGGGGGTGGGGGCTGGATCTCAGCAGGGTCCTGGAGCTCTGCTCCCAGACAGAGAAGGGTTTAGTTTTTCTCAGGAGTGGCTAGAGCACTTTAGGGAGAGGCCTGAGTGCGCTAGACCAGGGTGTGAAAAAGTTTTCCGCAGAATGTTAAGCTTTTTAAGAGTATGATCCCCCGTGGCAGTGGAAACCTGGGTGTTCCAAAGCCTATGGTGATACCAAAGTGTTACAGCTCATGGCAGGGCTGCAGGTCAAAGCCCATGCCCGGTTGTCAGAGCCCTCTGGCAGAGTTGAACAGTTCCTGAGTGGGGAGTGAGGACTGAAATAATTAAAGCAAGTCACACTACACACAGGATCAGCTCGAGAGGGCTGTTGGTAAGACTGTAGTCCTGAGTTTATCCCACAGTTCCTTTTTATGGCAAAGCAAAACCAAGTCACATAAGGAAAAAGAAAGAAAGAAAGAGAGAGAGAGAGAGAGAGAGAGAGAGAGAAAGAAAGAAAGAAAGAAAGAAAGAAAAACTGCCAAACTTGTTTTCTTAAACCACTTCCCTGTAGCAGGTATGGTCCAAGGTCACACAAGTTTTAAGGAACTTGATGAAATATCCTCTTATCTCTGTCTTAAGCTGAAGGCCAGGGTGAAAACAGGTTTGTCACTGAATACCCTGTAACACTGACAAACAAGCAGCCCTCCACACCTGGTGGGTTTGCAGCCCAGGACACAGAGGCCTGGTGAGATGCAGGTCCAGCAGGCCAGAGGGCAGGCCCAGTGAAACACTTCCTGGCAGGGGTTAAATGTCAGGCGGCCTTGGGGGAAGGCTGATGGTATCTTGTAGCATGCAACCAGCCAGCAGCATGCACCAGCATGTTTATTTGAAATCAGGGATTTATAAACCTTGGGCAATGGGAGGGATGCCCTCACGGGAGTCAGGGGTCAGGGATACTTGATTTGCATGTAGTCGTACAGTGCCTCATTTTCCAGGCAGTAGCACGGTCCTGTCACAAGAAGGAGAACACAACACTTAATTATCCTATGGGTGGGAGAATCTCCAAGTACCATGAAGGTCACTGCTGAAGACTTAGATCTTTAACAGGGTGGGGTATTTCTAGGAATAGATAGCTAGATTAGGAAAGTGTCCCCCCCCCCCCCCCGTTATAATCTGTCCTGAGGGCTATGTGATACTCCTTACAAAAGCTGGGGTCATCCAGATCAGTGGGGGCTTTTAGAACCTCCCTGAAAAAAGGCAGCCATTATCATAGACTGAGCACCAACAACAAATGGCTGTCCTGAGACATTGTTGAACTTCAACCTAATCCAGCAAGAGAAGAAGACAATAGTTTTATGGAACACACATACACACAATGTTTTTTTTTTTTTGTTTTTTTTTTTTTTTTTTTTTTTTTGAGATAAGTTTTCTCTATGTAACAGCCCTGGCTGTCCTGGGACTCATTTCGTGAGACCAGGCTGGGCTTGAACTCAGAGATCCACCTGTCTCTGCCTCCTGAATTCTAGGATTAAAGGCATGCACCACCATCCCTGGATAGAGACACAATAAAAATTCAAATTATGATTGTGAACCCAAGAGTTTGTTATGGTTGTACTCTGGTGAATTTAAAAATACACTGAATGAAATGGTTTATAATCATCAAGAAACTTTCAACCTGTGAGAGGAGATAAACCATTTGTAGATGAAACAATTACAGAAAAGAACTCATAGAATTTGCCAGAACTGTGCTTGTTAAGGTATTAAAGGCCCTGGTTGGGAAAAAAAAAAACAAGGCATAAGGAATGACCTTGAAAGAACATGGAGGAGCCGAGTAACTAATTCATTAGGAAAGCTTTAGGTTTATGGTGAGTTTTCCCAAGCGTTGTATTACTCATGGTTTGAAATCACTGTTTTCTTAGTTTTGTGTCAGAGATTAAAGATTTACAGAGGTGGTTGGAAAGGGGCAAATTTAGGTCTCAAACACTATGACATTTATGCTAATTTTATACAGAGATTTGAAGTTTTTCATTTCATGTTTTTCATATTCTGAAACTTTCTTGTTAGGAGTTGAAGTTAGTAATATTTCAAGGACTCATCCAGCGTTCTACAGCTAATTCTTTGGGAAAAAATAGTTCTGAAAAGTCCTATGTTTGAATATCTAGACCATCCTTCCATGTTCTCTCTCTCTCTCTTTCTCTCTGAGTCTCGCCATGTAACCCAGGCTGGCCTGGAACTCTCTATGCTGTGCTTACCTCTGTACCCCAAATGCTAAGATTAAAGTTGGGAATCAGTACACCAGGCACAACGGTCTATTTCCTATGTAGCTCACCTTGTACCTTAAAATAGGATCACTTCATAGGGAGGGAGAGAAGGTTCAGTGGCTTAGAATATTTGTGGCTCTTGTAGAGGATCAGGGTTCTATTCCCAGCACCCACATAGTTCCAGGGCTTGGAACACTCCTTGCTGGCCTCCATGGGCTCTAGGAACCATATGGTACATATACATACTCACAGGCACAACACTTATAAAGTAAAACAAATAAGTCTAAAAAAAACCCCATACAAGTCATCACAGAATTACAGGCCGGATCATTTCTATTAAGAATACATTCCCTCTAGTGGTTGTGGGGATCGAATAGAGAGCCTCTGCATGGCAGCAAGTGCTCTCCTACTGAGCTACTCCTCAACATGACGTAGCACACTTCTTTAATTCAAAAGACTGAATATTTGATTCAGACTTCCTATTTTTTCATAGACATATTCCTCGCTTAAGAAGCTTGGGCATTGATTCTTTATGGTGATTTCATCAGTTCCTATTTTTAACATTTCTGGACTTCAACATACTTTCCAGACCATGTACATGCCCTATAAAAGTCTGTAAGTTCTTACTTTAGTGTGTCAAGATGGAATAGATTCTGTCACCCTTCCTTTGACCTAGATGGCAATTACAAATTGTCCCATACTTCATAGGTTTTGGCTGTTTTAGGGTGCAAAGGTTGCTGATTTCTGCTGTAAGTTGAAAATTTCAGTAATTATGAGAAGTCTAACACGGTTTTACTTATGAAAGTATTTAAAATAGAATACATGAAATAGTGTATTCCTGTTTGCTGTATGTATCAGCTCTAAAAATGTGGATATTATAGCAGTAGAAATATTTTTCCTTAAATATCAATTTAAGGGGCTGGAGAGATGACTCAGCAGTTAAGAGCACCGGCTGCTCGGGTTCAACTCCCAGCACCCACATGGCAGCTCACAACTGTAACTCCTGTTCCAGGGAATCCGACTCCCTCACACGTGCAGACAAAGCCACCAGTGTACATACAATAAATTAAGAAAATATCCATTTAATGCTCAGCATCCTTGAAGGCCTGGCTTCTCGCCTCTCAGTTCCACAGGGCTTCCGGCTACCTGAGTGTTTGAGTCTGAGGTCGCAGACTCAGAAAAAGGGGATTTCAGGTTGGGAGTGACAGTGGGCTGTTCGCGGCCTTCGACAGTCGGGGGGTGGGGGGACCCACCGGGCGAGCATGTGAGAGCTCGTATTTCGGTGGAACTTTGTCAGAGGAAAACGCACCCGCTGGAAAGGGTGCGTGTCGGGCGGTGTAGGAGTGCCGAGCTGGGCCGGAGCTGGATGTGCTTGCGTGTGACCAGCCGCGCGAGGCGCCGAACCGCGTCCCGGCCGCGGCCCCGGCCTCAGCGCAAACCGGAGAAACCTGCTGCGGTTCCCCTGGCTCCCGGGCCCTCCACAAGGGCCGGCCGTTCCCGCCCGCCAGCGGGGCGCCCAGCGCTTGACAGGCGACCGGTCACGTGACGGCCGTAAAGCGCCGCTTTGCGACCCCGATGACAGGCAAAACGCGCGACAGTCCCGAGCCGGCCAACCAGCGGCGGAGGCGGCGGCCGGGGAGGAAGCGGAGGAGGCGGAGGCGGCCGTGGCGTCGGCCCGCCTGCTCGTTCTCTCGCTTTCCCCGCCCTCGCCGGGCTCGCCGCGGCCGAAGGGAGCCGGGCGCGCGCCGTCGCAACCTGTCCTCCTCGCAGCCGGCGGCGGAAGCAGCGGGTCGCCATCGAGGCCGGTCTCCCCGTCCCGGCGGCTGCGGCCCGGGCTCCGCGGGGCGCAGGCGGGCGCCGGGCGGCTGAAGGTTACCGAGTGCATGAGCGCCTAGCCTCCCGCGCCGCCCCGCCCGCCGGCCCCTCGCCACCCGGCGGCGGCCGCAGGAGGCGCCGTCTCGCTCCCAGGTGCGCGCTTCATCCCCGGAGCCGCGGAGCTCGGCGGCCGCCATGGCGTCCAACATGGACCGGGAGATGATCCTGGCGGATTTTCAGGTGAAGTGTCTGCTTCTGCCCGCTTCCCAGCCGGCGGCTGCGGGGAGGCAGCGCGGAGGCCTCTTCCCGGCGTTTGTCTGAGCGCCGCATTGGCGGCACTGTGGGCTTTTCTATCGTCCGTGGCTCAGGCTGTGTGTTTATTATGAGCCAAGGGGACCATGTATTTCAAATGCTTGGGCTTGTGTGTGTGTGTGTGTGTGTGTGTGTGTGTGTGTGTGTGTGTGTGTAGAACGTGTTAAACGGGGTTGAATGATTTTTAGGTTTGGGGATCTTACAATTTAAGGGCTCCTGTGTATTGCGGGCTCTCACCGTGATGAGGAATTTGTAGACTACGGGGTCGATTATGGTGTGTTTGGGTTGTTCCACGGGAAAACTGTGGTGTGTGGCGTGGAGAGTGTGTTGCTATGGGTGTGGTGTATTGTATGAAGTGGAGAGTGCAAAGGCAGAATGATGAGGAGGGGATGAGGCTGGTCGGGCTTTGTGGGCCTTTTCAAAGAGGGGTAAACAGTTGAGCCTCCGGAGGCCTTGTTGGACTCTTTGCAGGGCAGAAAATAAGGAGGCAGGTAGGCAGTGTATTCTGATGATCCCTGCAGTCAATTCGCACACTTAATAACCCATTCGTATTTGCAGAGTCCTCTCCCCTGCAGACTTCAATTGTTTGCTGTTCTTTCCTCAGGAGTTAATTTAAACTAAAGATTGTTCCCTTAGTGAGCCCTCCTGTAGTGACACTGGCATATAAGTTATCTTAGGGAGGCCCTTTGAAGGCGGAGCTGTGTGCATCTGGAAAGATTTGGAGTTACAGACAATACCCTGTGAATGTTTTCTCTGCCTTTTGATATTTACTGAAGGAAATATTTTAGTGCCTTATACACATCATTTGATATTTGTCAAACATAGGCAGATGTTTTCTCCAACACTGGCAATACTACATTTATACTTAATATTCTGATGACCATTTTCCAAGAATTTGCACTTTTTTTCTTCTCCGGTTCTGGTACACTAGAAATATGCTTCTATCTACATTTTGATGATACTGTAACTTAAACTCAGAAAGGATGGTGTTAAAAAGAAAAGCTGGCCATGGCATTTTGGTGTTTGTAGGCTTTAGAATAGCCTGAGTTAGACAGTGTCTCCGAATGTAGCCCAGGCTGGCATCTAATTTAGTAGTCTTCCTTTCTCAGCTTCTCACAGTACTGGAGTTACAAGTGTGATCCCTATGTCTACTTCTTAGATGTAGTTTTACCCAGTTTGTGTTTGGATGGGAAGGCTCCCATCCAATATACCCTGGCCCTAATGTGATAACTTTGTTTTAATTTTGTAAACGTTTAAAACCTGTAATAACTTGTAGGTGTCTATCTTCTTTCTGTCGGTCGCTGTGCTTGTTAATCTCTTTTTTTGGTGGTGGTGGGGTGGAGGGTTTCAAGATATATATATATATATATAGATACATACACATACATGTAACCCAGGCCAGCCTTGATTGATTCTCCAGTGTCGGGTTTATAGGAGTGTATGCCGTCACTCCTGGCTCACTGGTAATCTTATATTAGCTGAAGTACTGGAAATTCAGAGTCCTTCTTCCCAGAGGCAGAGCAACATTTTTGAGGCACATCAAATGCCTCAAAATTAAAATTATTATTTTGATTATATTATTAAATTCCAATAACATTTTTCCCAGTCTTTCTTTCATTGTTGAAATGTTTTCCTTTTGCAGTAGCTGGGGATTACAGTACCCAGGGTCTTGTTCATGTTAAGCAGGAGCTTTGCCACTGAACTGCATTTCCAACCGAAGATTCTTTTACTAGAATGGTAATGGAATGCTCTTATAGGTCAGTGATATACTGTGCACATTGTTCATAGCTGGAAATTACAAATGGCATCCAGTCTTCATATAATAAAACAATTTATTTAGAAGACTATGTTCTTTAAACACATTAACCCTTTGTGTGTTAAGGAACCTGTGATCCTCGTATTTAAAATAGCAGGTAATTTTGTTTGTGTGGTCTTACTTTAAAATTGATCATTGTAGTCTTTTGTATTTTAGGTTTTTTAGTATTAATTTAAAAATAAGCAATTATCTATTATAAGAAAATCAAGAAACTTATTGTAAAGGTTATATGGCAAGACTTGGTATCAAGGTGTGGGAATGTAGCTCAGTAGTAGAGCACTGCCTAGCTTGCCATATTTAAGGCCCTGAGTTTGATACCTAGTACCACATTCATATACACAGACATGCCTATGTGCACATACACATATACACATAGAAGACATGTCATATGGATTCTTGGGTCATACTTGTTTAGTTGAATACCTTCTCAAAGTGACTTGTAAGATTGTGTTTATTTTATGTGCTTGTGGGAATCAGTAATAATATGAGGGCTTAGCATGTAGAAAGGAGACTTTTTTTTTCTTCGACAAAGGATTTCTCCTTGTACCCTGGTCTGCCCTGGAACTCACTCTTACTATGCTGGTCTGAACTCACAAAGATCTGCCTTCCTCTACCTCCCAAGTGCTGGGACTAAAGGCTTGCACCATCACTGCCTGGCAAAAGTACACAATTTTGAGTTAAATTTTTAAGATTGCTTGTACATGCTTGTTTCGTGTTAAGTGTTTACAATAGCACAAATATGGAACCAGCCTAGATGCCCACTAACATGTGAAAGTAAGGAAAATATGGGATGTACAATGGAGTTCTAGTTCCTTTAAAAAGAATGAATTAAAAAAAAAAAAATGAGGCCAGGTGTGCTAGCGCACACTTTTAATCCAGGCAGAGGCAGGCAGATCTCTGAGTTCAAGGCCAGCCTGGTCTATGGAGGGAGTTCCAGGACAGACAGGGCTACACATTTATCTTGATAAATAAAAAAACAAACAAAAAAAACCCAAACCAGAACAAAACAAAAAACTCACCACCAACAAACAAAAAGCACTTCAGTTGAAACCTTTACATGCATTTAAAATTTTATTTTTCAATATTTGTATTTATTTATCCCATTCTGATTATGTAACATGAAGAGCACAATTATTTTTTAACAAGCTCAGTGAAGAAGCCTTCTAAAACTCCTCCATTTCCTTTTAGGGGGAAAAATCAGATTTTGATCTCTGCTGGATGATAGGTTATAATAAGTGTAATATCTGAAAATGGAAAGCTTTTGGGAAGGGATTCTTGATCCTTTCACTTCAAGAGAAAATGCTTCTGTCACAGTCAGTGATGCGGTGTTAAGTAGTGGGTGGAAGATTACAGCTCACACTTACTGGGAGAGCACTGGAGCTCTGGATGGGTGAGCTAAACAAATTGTCTTGTACTTCCCACCTCTCCTGGGTGCTCAGCCAGCAGGAGTGAGCATGGGGCTGATCCCAGCAGGGAAAAGCAGTGGGCCAGAATTCCTGAAAATTTTTCTCATGGAAAATATATAACATAATTTTCCATGTTAGCCACTTTCAATTGTCTACTTAAGTACTATTCATACTTATAATACTGTGCAACAATCACCATTATTCATCTCCAGTGCTTTTTTTCTCTTTTTCAAACTAACTTTGGGTGTATTAAATAATATATCCTCATTTCTCCCTCCTTCTGACTTCCTTTCTATATGAACTTGACTGTTCTAGGTACCTCATTCACAGGAATTTTACATATTTGTTCTTTTGTGACTGGTTTATTTCACTTAGTGTATACAAGCTCAAGGTTCGTCCATGACATGGCATGTGTTAAAATTTATTCCTTTTAACAGCTAAATAATGTCCATATTTGGAAATGCCACACTTTGCTTCCTCATTCACCTTCTGCCATACTTAGGATGCTCATAATGTATGGCTAATCATGGGTAATGCTGCTGTGAACAGAGGTGTAAAATACTGCTAGAGTTTCTTACTTCTTCAGTTTATTTGGGTATATACCTAGAGGCAAAATTGCTGGATCATATGATAATATGATACTCCTACATGGAAAATGAATTTTTAGCCTTTTTGAGGACATGCCATCTTGTTTTGCAAGAGTACAACCAGAAGTTTTAGAATGGGGGAATACTAGCATCTTGCAGGGTCTCCCTGTGTAGCTGAAGCTAGAGTCAGACTCAGGGTCCATATGCCTGTTTCCGTAGTGTTGGGTTTGTAAATGTGGGTCATCACGCCCAGTTCTATTAGTTACTTTTAAATTTAGCTCTGTCTAGTGAATTTAGACTTTGGAATATTTTATAAAAAATGTTTATCCAGAGCCAGGCAGTGGTGGTGCTTGCTTTTAATCCCAGGCAGGTGGATATCTGAGTTTGAGGCCAGCCTGGTCTAAGGGAGTTCCAGGACAGCCAGAGCTACACAGAGAAACCTGTTTCAAAAAACAAAAAAACAAAGCAAAACCAAAACAAACTAAACAAAAAGAAAACAAAAAAACCTTGTTTGCATAGTAGTATGTTACAGTTAAAGTAGTAGTAGAGCAGTGTTTATGCTGCCCTGGCTGGCTAGAGCCAAAGAGGGTGTACAGAAACACCCCGAGTTTAAAACCAACCAGCCAACCTGATTCCCCTTCCCAGAGTTTTTATAACGAAAGATTCAAATCTTAATAAGTATGCTTTTATAACGAAAGGTTCAAATCTTAATAAGTATGCAAATCTTGGGGGTTTTCCCCCAAGATAGGGTCTCATTCTGAAGCTCTCACAGAGATCCACCTGCCTCTTCCTCCCAAGTGCTTTTGTTTGTTCCTTTGTTTTTGATTTAAAGACAGGCTCTCACACCTTGACTGGATGGCTTGGAGCTCTGCAGCCATGCTGATTTTGAATGCCACTTCTCATCCTTAAAGGCCTTTCAGGTGCTAAGATTACAAGGGTGGCCACCATGCCTTCTAGTGATTGTAGAAGGCATTATTATTTTCTTTTTGCTGTTATATTCTTTTATTATTATCTTCTTTCCTTTCTTCACAAAGATCATTTTCTCAAACTTGACCCTGTCTGATCTGCTTACAGATGGGAAAATAGTCACCTAACAATTACAGTTGTTGTCAAAGGATT